GGGACAATTTTGGAAAAAATAAAAAAACTCGGGTTGATAGACCTTATGCGTAATTTTCGCCCAAATTGCCCCATTTTGTACTTCAAGTAAAGTTTTTGGGTTCGTATGTAAATCACTCTCATGAAAACTACACGAAAATGAAAAACCTACAATAAGACTAATTATAATGACACCTCCAAATTTTAGTCATATTGATAATCATCTACATTTTGTGTTGTTTATAGAAAGTAGTATATAGCCCAGGGAAAGCTTTCTATGTTCCCCTATAACATAGAAGTTCTATCCTCCCCTTATCCAATCGTCTATTTTTAACGGAGTGCTAAGATTGCCCTAATCACAATGTCACTTCTGTATACTATTTTATTTTAAATTTTTTTACTATAAACTATTTTGACACCAAATTTTGGACGTCCATTCTTTTATTAAACTCGAACTAACGAATAATATAAAAAAATATTTTCAATAAAATAAAATGATCAAAATACCCCTGAAATTTCAAGGGGTATTTTGATCATTATTTTTATCAAAAAATTATTGTTAATATTTTTTATAGGTACACTCCAATGAGAAGATGGCACGTACTAAATTTCATATTCAGAAAAATTGTATTAAAAATACTAAAAATAACTACTTTGAGACGTCAGATCTAAGATCAAACGGTGAATGGCTCTCTTGATAAAAAATGGACGGCGGGATGGTAGGGGGAGGATAGAACTTCTATGTTGTAGGGGGAATATAGAAAGCTTTCCTTATAGCCTATTGGTAATGTTGGTAATCTTCTAAATTTTGTCAATTAGTTAGCACTTGGCAATTTGCAAGGCTACGTCCTAGACTCAATTCTTACCAAAGATAAAAGCATTTTTCTCTCTCAGACTCACCCAAAAAAAGAAAAGAAATAATCTCTAAATTTTGTGATCTCTTTAGAAAGTAGGGTATAAGCTAGAAAATTTATAGTAATAATTCTCATTGAAATTTTAAATTGAGAAGCAAATTATCATTTTCATCCGAGTCTTATCTCAATTATTTGGTATCTGCCTGAATCCAGAAACAGAGACCACGTAGATAGAGAGGGTGATAAGCTGATCGGCATCTATGGTTTTGGATGGTGAGGAAAGTGGAGTACGTGAGTGTTTTAAAAAACAGAAAGGGGGGAGAGAGAGTTCACTGTTTGTAACTTGGAAAAGTACACATGATTAAGTTTGGAGCTTGTTTTATATGGAGAGGAGGGGGGGGGGGAGGGATGGGAGATTGAATAGGATTTGTTAGTTTGACTTGTTTTACATGGAGACGGGAGGAAAGGATGGCCTGAATCATGACGATTTGTGAATTTTAGAGAGAGAAAAAGATTGGTCCAATTGATTATAGATTGTGAGATTTTGTGCTTCATGAAGAGGCATAACCCTAATTATCCATGAAAACAAGGTGGGGCATCTAACTCTTTGCCATCATAAGTTTTGGGTAGTTTCTCACTTTCATTTGTCGGTCCCATTGGCAGTTTCACAGCTAAATTCCCACTATGGGTGGTAATGCGCCGGGTCGTCTAGCCAGTCGGCCCGTCTTTAAAAAAATTAGGGTTGAGCCACAAAATATGGTCCGAGGGCCAGTTTTAAGCCAGGCCACTAGTTCGGTTCGGCCTAACTATTTATTTTTTTATCTTTTTTATATTGTTTTTCTCTAATTTTACCTGCGCGACCTAATGGGTAATAGGGCAGGGCTCGGGCTCGGGCCCGGGCCCGGGCGGTAGGGCCGGCCTGCCCTAATTCCTATCTCTCTCTAAATTTAGAGAGAGAAGATTGTTGGTCCAGTGAGAGAGGCGCTCTTCAGCCACTGGCGAGGAAACCCATGTGATAGGAAATCTCACTCCACTCTCTCTCACTACAAACCTAGAGAGAGAAAGACAGTATTGTAACCAAAAGGAGAGACTGCGTACGAAAACAGGTAAAATGCCTTCCAGTTCTGGATAAATTCATGTGCCCGTGGCTTCAAAGGAATGCCCAAAACACTCCTTGCTGTACGCCATTGGAAACGTTCTAATCTAATGTATTACTAAATTATTGGTGTGGTTTCTATAATTAAGGTTCACCTTCCAGTTTTATCGTGACATAAAATTTTGGTGTAATTTTTTTTTAAAATTATCTAAAAATCTATTTTTTTAAGTTATAAAATTTTAAACTTCAAAAATGATTAAAATCAAGTATATCTATAACATATGAAAATCTTGAAAATTGATGATTAAGATAATGTGTTATAAGATACACTATTTTTGGGATTCAAAATCTTTTTTTTTTTTTTATATTCATAAATCTCGATATCCAGATGATCAATTAGAGGGTTTTTCAACATTAAAACAACATTTTCTAATGGGGGACGCATATGTGATTCTACATTTTAAGGTTACAACTATAAACTTTTCCTTACTAAATAATCACACTCATAAATGTTTAATCTAATCCCTAAGGATGTGAAGTCAACCCGGATTCTTGGACTATCATATTTTTTAAGTTATTTTCTGGTATGTGCGTTTGTAAATATTTTATTTTTTTATTTTTTATATTTTTTCTCTTGGTCTTGGAGGTTAGTCACAAAAATTTGGAGTCACGACAAAAAATATTCTCTTGGAGGAGCACAAAATCTTTTGACACTATACAAATACATACTCCACCTGAGCATATTATGTACTTACTCCCTCAGGCAAAACACTTACTTATTTGGGAAGATTTTTTTGAAGGGTGTGATTTGTATAAGGTTGCAACCTAAAACAATCCAATTAAGGCGCACCTCCAAAATTTATCATTATATGTAATTTTGGTGTAAAAAATTCTTAGGATTATATCAAAATCGATTTTCGTATCTAATTATAAATTTTTAAACTCCAAAAATAGTTAAAATCAAGTCGATCTATAAACATATGAAAATCTTGAAAATGGACGGTCTAGATAATGTGTTGCAAGATGCACTATTTCTAGGAATCAAAATGTTTTTTCTTTCATTTCATATTCAAACATCTCGTTGTCAAGATGATCAATTAGCGGGCTTTTCAACATTAAAAAAATATTTTCCAATGGATTTATGAGGTGCATATATAATTCTACATTTTACAATTGTAACCTTATATAAACTTTTTCCTTCTTTGAATTCAAAATTTTGAAAACCAACTAAAAATCACTGGACAAGCTTTTTAAGACTTAGATCCCTTGCTTTAAAGATTAAACAGTTTCTATTCAATCTCAGGGCATTATATTGTTCAAGCCTCTAGATAATGCAATTTATTAATCTTTTTTATCGAGTACGGCTGAAGAGATTACATCCCAATTTGAGGTCATAAAAATACTCCTAAATTTTGTGTTACCTTGGGGAGTCTGTGCTCCCTCCTGAGCATGAGATCTTTTGGTTACTCACTCTATATAATATGGAGTTTTACAAATATGAGTATACAAATATATGGAAGGGCCAAGGTTCCATCTAAACTCTAAGACAAATGGAACAAGAAAAAGAAGAAAAAGACAAAATCTTAAGTGTAAAATCATAATTCAGCATCACCAAGAGAAAATAATGCCAATAGGATAACAATCATAAAAGTGATCACAATAAGTTAAGAAAGGAAAGAGAAAGGCATTAGTATAATGAGCAATGGTAAATACTATTGTAGTAATATGCATAGCTGTTAAGACTTGGAACTAAGAATAACAAATGCATAGAGTACTATTAGGGTGGGGATTGGAGTGGGTATTTTGAAGGAATATCTTGTTGTGGGAATAGGGGTAGAGAGAGAAAATGGGGGCAAGAGAGTTTAGAGAGAGAAAAAGGGGGAGGGAGAATTTTAGAGAGAGAGAGAGGGAGTGAGAGTTTTAGAGAGAGAAAGGGGGAGAGAGTAAAAAGTTCATGGGATTTGCAGCCTTCCTCACTAGATGAATTGAATGATGGAAGGGCTAATTCAAAGGTGGGTCTGACAGGCTTCACATGCCTCCACTTATCCAACCCAGTTGCAGTCCCAATCTAATAATCCCCCACATGGAATGTGGGAAGAAACCAAGCACATATGACCCACTTTTTGCCCTTTCCACCCCAACAATCTCTCTCTCTCTCTACCCACACTATATTCTCTCTCTTCTTTTCCTCATCTCACATCTCTCCCTTCTTTTTCTTCTCCCCCCAAATCCCCAACCACTCTCTTAGAGCTTTCCCTCTCTCTCTTATTCATGGCTGAAATGGGCTAATGTGCACACACTTTCTCTCTCTCTATAGTGAACAGTTAATGGTTGATATTTGGTGCCATGATTTTCTCTCTCTACACAAACTTTCATGAATGATTTTGATCCCTCATTCTTACCTTTTCCAATCTCTCTTCCTTTTGGGTAGCTCAAATTGCCTTAAGGATCTCTCTCTGCAAATACATGATTCTCTTAGTTACATCGATCCTCCGTCACCTTCTCCAATCTCTCTCTAAAACCTGTAAAGTACCTATCTCTCTCTGTATTTTAATGCCCCATCAGGCACGACCCTTCTCCGCATCAAACCGGGATTGTATTCTATGTCTTTTGAGATACAGTCTGTACACATAATCATACCACTCTGGTGTTGTCAGAAGAAACCAAAATTTGGGTTTTGTGGGTCTCTACTTTCGGTTATTCTTAATGTTTTTTTCATCCTAGTGATCTTTCTTGCTGAAAAAAAATTGGTTCAGTTGCACAGGTGACCCACATCTCTATCTCCTCTCTCTAACCAAAATCTGTGTTGTGTGGGCTCTACAGGTTTTCTCTTACTGGCTTTTCATGGTGGTTATTTTTTCTGAGAAAGTATTGGGTTTCAATTTGCATTGTTGACCTCTCTCTCTCTTCTCTCTCT